TCTTCTTCACGAGTACTACCGGAGAGCTCCAAGGACTTGCAGATGGCTCGATAACACCGCTTTCGCTCATTTCCTTAATTATTTGGCCAACAGTGTCACGTTTGGCTAGTGGAACGCTTCGAGGAGCTTGACGAATTGGTCTTGCGCCACCCGTATCGATGCAATGTTTCACTACGTTGGTCTTGCCTAGTTTGTTGTCATGTTGGAGTATTTGCGGATAAGTTGGCTGGCCTTTTGCTTGTACTTGTCTTCCAACCCTTGCGTCCAAACATTTTTCGATGAGTCATTGCTGATGGCTTCCACTTCTTTACATTGCCCTAATCTAGTTACTCCAGGAATTTTTACTGGTGATCTGAAGTCATTTAATACTCTCACTGGGATGCGTCCATTCTTTGCCGTCTTAGCCAGGGTTTTACCAATAAGTATGTCTGGTGTAGAATCTTGTGTTGCTTCGACAACCCACAATTTGCTTGTCCCACAATCTCCATTAATTTTTGCCCACACAACTGCTTCTGACTTTGGTGGAATCAGCTCGCTGCCATCTAAGATCACTTGCTTGCTGCTCTGCGTGGAATTAAAGCGAATGCTTAGTGGTACCTCCATGTTCTTATATTCCATAAAGTTGTTATTCAAGTCGATCTTGATACCTTGATCCATCAAGAAGTCCACTCCTATGATTACCTCATCTACAATCTGCGCGACGGTAAAGCTGTCTAGCACCGTCACATTACCTACTGTGACCTCACACGTTACTTCCCCGACTACTTGGCTATCCTCAGCAGTCGCCTTTTTCAATATTGCTCCAGGTAATGGGCTCACTTCTTTAGCGATCATATCAGTTCGAATAATGGAGTGTGATACGCCCGTATCCATCCAATAGTAATGTAGCTCGGTTTTCTGCCAACTTGCGATATGGAAATTATGGGGCATTCAATTGCAGGAGCCAGCTTACGCCCCTTTAGGCTAGCTCGTTTTAGTTTAACGATTAAGAAGTTGATGGTTCATCTTCTTCTGCCTTCCGTTTTCGCTGTACCTCCTGCCTGCTGGAACTTGTTTTGCATTCGCGTGAGTAGTGACCAGGCTTTCCACATTTAAAGCATTTTCCCGCTTGAGTCTTGAAACCAGAACGATTCATCCCTTGTAGCGACTTCAGAGTTCTCAATATTTCCTTCATCACATCTGGTGATTCAACCTCCACTTTATTGACTTTGTATAATGGTCTGCTTATGAGTGCCGTCGTTTCACGTGTTTGTGCATACGCAACAGTTTCAGCGAATGCCAACTTTGGATTCGCATATGTCTCTCGCTTGGTGTACACGTCTTTTATTCCGCTGATGAATTTTTGTATCTTCACCTTTTCAAGATGCTCACCCGATGTGTCTCCAATGGCTAAATGAGCCAATCTCTCAACTTCCGAAGTATATTCCTGCAGAGATTCGTTGGATTTTTGGTCGCGCTTTTCTAACTCCATCTGGTAAATCTGTCTTCTGTGTTCGCTACCATAGCGTCTTTCCAGGGCTCGCATCAATCCTTCGTAATCATTTCTCTCGTTTTTTGCAAAAGTTTGGCTGCAGGTTCTTCCAACGCAACGAATAGTGCAGCAGATTTTTCCTCTATGCTACATTTGTTTGTTTCAGCTGTCTTCTCAAATTGGAGCTTAAAGGCTTGAAATGGGATTTTCCCGACAAAAGATGGTGTTTTCACCTTCGGAGCGTTCACTGAACCGGTTGGACGATTTAGCTGCAATACCCGGAAACGACTTTTCAAAGCGTTGACGTTGGTCTCAATTAGATCCTGCCGTTCCTTAAGTTCCGCATTGTTCCTCACCAGATTTTGCTGTATTTGCGCTAGTGTTCCTTCCAAGGATAATATCTGCTCCCTCTGTTCAACCATTTCTGATGTAATGTTGGCATTTTGTGCGTCCATATTTTGTGAGATGCTGGCATCCTGTGCATCCAACTTTTGTGAAATGCTGGCTTTCTGTGCATCCATCTTTTTGAGATGATGGCTCTCATTTCACACATATTTTGTGAGATCGCGGTCAATAAGATGTTCATGTTAATACCCTTAGATGAGTCAGGAGCCTTTTCTTGAATCTTACTTGATGGTGATTCCCATTCTTTCATAGAATCATCAGCGTCTTCCTTGTTAATGTCTTTCAAGGATACATCTTCATCCTCGTGATGGAACTCGTACTGGTTCAAGTCGATGCCTTCAACTTCCATTGCTTCACGCAGTCTCGATTGCAGCTCTGCCTTATTTCCAGTTGTCGATAATCCTCGCTTTGGAAACTCCCTCTTGAGAGGAGGTATCGTCAAATCTTGAATCTTAACCATTTTGCAAATATTATCTTTTAGGACTTATTTAACAGTACCACTTCTGACACCAATGGTTACGATTTTGCTGAAAAAACCTGGATGATTTTCTGAATCCTTCGGGTACGATCTCTGGATTGTTAAATAAAAAATCGCCAACTTAATTTGCAGTTTCGTCCGTTATAAAGAATTTATCTAATGTCCTTTATTTACTCAGTAATTCACAATTCAATTACAATGCACTTCACTAGTTACAATCCCGTGTATAAGACTTTCACAATTTACTTTACTTAAATGTAATCTCCAACGCAACGGATAGTTTATTCCGCTATACTCTATACTAATGTTGTCGCCAACGAGTTCACTTTGTAACTAACTTGACTTGACAGCAGGGTGTCGCCCTGATATAGTAGTCGGCTGCTCGTAGACGAAAGTGTAGAATAATCGAGTTTTTCGCTTCCGAAGGTTCTCGTTTTATCGTTATAGAATGTAATAGTTATCGGCTTCTCTCTTTCATCTGACATTCACCTCGCATTTTCGCAACAATATCTTTGCATGAACAAAAACAAGAATTCATATTATTTACACATTTACATACAGATCCAAAAATGAGAGCGCATGACCCTCACATATTTTTATAATAAATAAACTATTCATTCACGTCAACTTTTTATCATAAATAAATTATTCATTCATGTCAACTTTTCATAATATTCATGAAAAGCCATTCATGCTTTGGGATTTGGCTGTAGATATTTTGTGTATACATCGAAAACAACGCATTGCATTGACAATTAATTTTTGGGCATGTCCATGGAGGTGCCGTTACTGAAAATAAGTGGTAAGTATATTTTTAAAAATGTTACTTGATTTTGGTATTCTCAGTAGACGCAAAGCTATTAAAATGGGGAGGTCTCTTTCAATTTTCGATAAACTCATGTTCTTAACCACTAGCACATTTGGACGCACCCTAATGCGCTTTTGGCCTATATAAGCCGCGTTTGTCAAACAATCGACGAGATTTCACATCAACACATCGGCAAGCGCGCAAAAGGCCACAATTTTTAAGATCTTTTATATAACAATCTAATGTCCATTTGGAAAGTTACAATAATATCCCAAAGTTATCGCCCGGAAAACTTAAAATTTTGTCGGATTGTTTCTATGGTTCATAAAAATGTCCAAACGAAACAAATTTTCGCGAAGTGGATTGTATAGAACGGGTGTTCTCCAAAAATAACCGACCGATTGACTTTAAATTTCGTCAGATTGCTTTTATGGTTCATACGAAAAAAAAACTTTCGAGATTGGAACTGAACTATTCGAAAATATATTATTTATGGTTCGATGAAGCATAGCAGGGTACAGTTAGTAATGATAACGAAACAAAACATTTATAAAATATAACTTTCTCATATACACAAATTAAAAAGAAATTTGTAAAAATTCATATTAAATACAATTAATTACACAATTAATTAATTGAACTATTTCAAGGAAGGTACCTTGCGTAAACTCTCTTAATTAAAACAAAAATTGAATGCAAAGGAGTCGGCTACAAAAATGCAGCTGATATAAGCGTGTTAAAAAGATAACTTATTTGCTAAAATCACTTACATATTTGAATATACATTTATATGTATTGTACTTATATGAACGTTTTATTAAGTTAAGTTAATTTATGAATAATATGTCTTATAGAATTGAAACAGTCATTAAGGGGGTTTTTGTAATATGAGAATTAAATGCATTATCTACTTTGTACTTAACATGTATGTATATGAATATTTAAATCATTAAAGAAATGAATATGCCATGTTTAGGTTTTTTTTTAGAAAATTTTAGGTATATGGAAATGTATGTACATATATCTATATATATTGTATATTTTGGTATGCATGTGTATTTAGTTATATCAATTTTTATAAGGTCAATAGAAAGGATGTTTTATTTTATTATTTGATATCAAATAAGTAAACACCTCGTGTCTTCGATAGCATTAACTGAACGCCTTGGTAGCTTTGGAATATAGAAATTGACCTGATCTTTTTTTCCCCCAAGTAGTGCCGCAGGGTTAAGGGCTGCGGTATTTAAAGCCTGTGCTGCATTATTTAATGTTGTTGGATTTAAAGCTGCATTAATTCTATAGAACATGTCGTAAATTGTTGTTGTCAGTTGCAATAAATTAAGCTCATGTATACATACATGTTTATTTTGTATAGAAATATGTAAATACACAAAAATAAAAGAATCGATAAAAAATTATTAAAGGAAAAGAGAAATAGGGAGAGAAGAAGAGAAAACACGTTAAGAAAATAGAAGTAAAATTGAAACAAAAATTCATTTATAATAATAATAATAATAATGTATATAATTTACTGCATTTAACAGCCACCAGGGTTCATTAAATTTTTCTATATATATATGTGTTTATATGTGTGTAGGGAAATATCTTCTAGCGATATTAGGAAGATCTGAATCTTAAAAGGTGAAAAGGATTTGCAGATCGAGTCTCAAGGAGCAAAATTTCTCTTGAAAAAGCTGAAAACAATCATACAAAAACTATTCGTACATATTTGTTGTTGCAAAAAGTGCAACATAAAAATGCGGGCAAAACCATGCGGTGACGGTTTGAACTCCAAGCGTTTATTATGTAATATTAAGCCGGCATTAACATACCTAACTCTCACCAATACTTTGAAATTATATAACTTAACTTTTTTGTACACATACTTAAAATTGTAAGTGCTTTCGAATTTAGCAAAAAAAAAAATTCTTAATGTAAAGTAATTAATTAATTTTCTTTTTAAACCTATCAATCGCTTTTAATTATTGATCCATTTGCTTAATAAATACAATATAAAAATAAATTATCATAAAGGAAGTAATTTTTCTTTAAGACGTTGTATGAATTACATGCAATAATGGTATCATATGCAATAAGGATAATCGACGAGCCATCTTTACCAATTGTTTTTATTTTTGCATTTTTTACATACACGTACATTCCTAATTTTTTTGCGAACGTTTTTCTTTAAAGATTTTTTGGAATTGTCGATTATTGTACTAGCTATTAGCTATCAAACATTCAAACTTTGGTTTACCTTGACCAGTTAGATAACATTCAGCTAAACAAAAATGTTCGGCATTCATTATTTAAGTATTACTCGAAAAAAAAAGAAAAATTTCTTTTATTTTTTTGAATAACTTAAATAGTTATATATTTAATGTACAACCTTCCTCCATCCCTTAAGTTTAATAGTTACAAATAAATTATTAAATGTCTTTTGATTCTATTTGCTAGATATTTTCTTAATTATATTTCTTAATTTTCACAATTAGTATGGATTCCTGGTATTTATTGTAAATATGATTGAAAATGTTAAGTCTTATTCTCGAGACTTACCCTTTACTATCCCAGCGTTCCTTTTCAAAGCCTTTATGAATTGATTGAGCGATTGATGACTCCATAAGATCCACGTAGCGAACAACTAGTGGTGCAAACGTGTCTCGTAGGTGCTGATGGAAACGTCCATTTCGCAAATTATCTGAAAAAAGCACAGTACACAGAGTTTTTAATGGGATGTAACTACACGCAGATTTAATTATAATGTATTGGTTATACTTTTGTAAAAAAATACAGGCATTTGCATATATAATTGGGGCTTTGTAACCGCTGAAGCGATTTTCGGCCCAGCTCTTCCTCCAAATTGTGGTTTTGGAACTTGATGTTTTTTCCACGGGTTTGCCGTGGACGGCATTTGCTTCGGTGAATGATCATCTTATCACAATCAGAAAGGGCAAATTTTTTGACATATGGCTGATTTGCGCCCATGCCTTGACGGAAGAAAAGGACGATGTGATTAAAGATACCTTTTATAAACGCCTGGGGCGTACTCATGAGCTCTGCTCCACCACGATTATTCTTGATGACTTTAGCACTAGGGCAAATAAGGTACTTTCATGTCAGGTTGCAATTTTGTTCTCTTTAATATGTGATACAAATAAATTGCTACATAGAAATTAATATTCCCAGACTAGACGTCTGTTCGCCTGAGTTTCCGATGACGCACTAGTTATGTGTCGGTTTCTGTCGGGCGTCTTGGTTGGACTTTCTTGCTTCATCGCCCTCACAGGATGATACGTCGCTGTCTTCATTGTTATCTAATTCTGAACTTGACTTATAAAATGGTCGGCTGAAATTACATTCAAGTGTCATCTTTAAGTGATTGCAAGTTCTGGTAAATCCTCAACTATATTCAAAGTTGAGAACTTTTGCAATAATGTATGTGCGTTCATAGCCGAATTCATGTGATTCGTCTATCACAATTAGTATATGGTCGACTACTACCATGCCACTAACTTAGTATTTCTTTGAAGTCTGGTGTTTCCCGACATATCTCTCCTTCCATTATTTCTATTTCTTTGACATAACTTATGATTTTGTTACAATATCTCAAAGATGCTATTAAACGCACTATCATTTCTTGAGAAAACATCGGCACGTTGCGTAAGCCAATCGGCATAACATTTTGCTCGAATAAGCCATCTGGCGTAAAGAAAGCCGTAGATGGCTTACACTCTTCCTTCAAAGGGATTTGATAAAACCCAGAAAGCATGGCGAGTGTGGTGATAAACTTATATCGGCAAGCTTCCATATATGATTTTCTACTACTGGCATTGGGAAATGATTTTTGATGGTAACTGTTGAGCGCTCGATAGTCGACACACATCTTACTGTATATTGGGATGTGCGATGATACATCAAATTGCACACAGTTTTTGATAACATTGTACGCTGATATTGGGGAATTTCGTAACGCTTCCCCAAACCAGTTGATCTGTTCAAATGACAATGCCAGTTTCCATTGTGTAACATCTGCATTACTTCTCCAACTCTTTCCCCAAAGCAGTCATCATGGTTCTTTGACAAGTCTTTTTGGGTAATCACATCAGCTAGTAGGCACTTGCATCACACTGGCTTCAATTTTCAACCTGACACCATTTCGGAACAGCCTTAAAGGAAGTCAAATAACATAACTCCAACGACCACTATGTCCATATTGATATCCTCTACGCTACTATTAGCTGCACACCATCAGTTGGAACCTTCGGTGGATTTGGTACATCATCAGTTTGTGGCTCGGCAACTGTTGGTTTACCCGCCTTGCACTGTTTAAATTGATGGCCAACTTTGTTGCCATATGTTCAAGTTGGTTGTAATTATAGCATCTGCTCGGCTTAATGTCTGCTACGCACAGGATATTGTCCAGCACAATGTGGGCATTATACTCTTATTATTCTTACGCGATTTCCATCCTGTTTTCCTCTTCTGATGAAGAATTTAAGAAGAATTCTACTAGGCTATCCAATTCTTCTATAGAAAAATGAGACTTAATGATTGACTTCCTATTGTTTGGCGATGGTAGTCTGATACGACTTCCAGTTAGTATGTCTGGGATTTCTTTTAGGATTTATTTTGACAATGGTAAGATTCATGACTATTTTAATGTATCGATGGTCAGAAAAGGAATGTTCATCCGGAACTCCGTCGTTAGAATGTACCAAGGTCACCGAAACCATTTTAGACTTGTGGAAGCTACTACACACTTCCCCAAAGATGAAACATTGACGTCTTCGTCGCTATGCAACAGTCCCTCTCCTACATATGTACATTTTATAACCACTATCAGCCTCGGAGAGCTCCGTCTCTACATCAGGCGCCTCGATTTATCCATCCAATGGCCCAGCTACTAGAATATTGTTGGGTTGAGTTTTAGTCCATGCCTCCCTCCAGCTTCTGGAAGTCCACTTCATCGCTTCCGTAAATTTTGCACAGCTTCTTTACTTTCCCCGCTTTATTTCCAGTCACAATAACATCCTTACTTCGCAACAACTTGTTGACCTTTTCCGTCGTTCCACTTTTACGTTACATGAATATATGTATTTGTATACGGACATTTCTTCTTCTTAGTTTATAAGAGCAGCAGAGAACTTAGAATAACGAGAAGGTGCAAATTCGTTGCGACATCGAACATGCTGCGAGCATTTTCTGAAAAACTTTGGGAAAGGGATTCACCACACCGGGAAAGGGATTCACCATTCTTTCTATAACAGCCACTCATAAAGTTAGTAGAGACATGTTCTGTTATGATTAATGAACAGAGTGTCACTTACAGGTGAATGTTATTGTTTTGTCATTTCTTTTTGTCTTCGCCTCTATTGTCATATTAATTACAAACCAATGTGTCAATAATTGCGCCAAAAAGCCATAAAGTCAAAAATCTCCATGGTTGCGGTCCATATTAGTAAATAATATGAATTCTTGTTTTGGTAAATGTATGTTAATATGTAAGCAATATAAATTTTCGCGTTTGTTCGTTTCAATAAATCGAAAAACAAACTATGCCGGACCCACACCTGATCCGCCTTATTCTTTGCTCTTTTTTAAGTTTCCTACACAGTATGGCAACATCAATTTAGCCATGTATTTGTATGTAATGTGTGTTCTAGTAATTTTAGTGTAGCTTTAAATGTTAATAATAATAAAACTATTGCAAAACCCAGCTTTCCCCCACTTTTAATGAAAAGATAATCATCAATTACTCCTATTTAGTCAAAAACTCCAGAATTTTTGGACAGTTTTAGCAAAAGCCACTGTCCTGTATAATTACCAAATTTTCATGGTTACGGTCGTGCGTTTTTAGTTTCAGTAGTAAAAATCATGAAAACTTTTTAAATATTAGTGAAAATGCCGAAATCTCGTAAGTGTCACGTTACGGGATGTTGCAGTACCAGCGAGGTACTGTGACCATTTAATTTCCACGACAGAGAGATTTAAAGAAAAAGTGGAGGCAGAATCTCAATATTTTACCTACGGACCACCTGCCGCCCTGCAACTTGTACGTCTGCGAGAAGCATTTTACGGAAGTGGGATCGCGTTATTTAAAGCCGAATGCTGTGCCAACATTGTGCCTTGGTAAGTGTTTTGTTATTAACAATAAGTACATATTTTGTGGTTGAAAATGTTTTAGTTTGTGTGTGCAAAAATGTACTTATGTAAATGGTTACGGGTTTTGTGTGGCATGATGGTATATACTTATGTATGAAGATATATCTGTGTATGCCTGCATAAGTTTTTGGCGCACTTATGCACGTACATGGATATGTATGTAGTAAGTATGTATATTCATTTGTTAAAACAGACCTTTTAGGAACTGGGGTTTGAGACACAGTATGTCTGTATATACATCTGTATAGGAATATAAAAAAATTTATTGTTTATAGTTTTATTTAGCTATTTATTTACGAATATTTATTAATTAATTTATTTTCTAAAAAAAAAAATATTGTGTCATTTTATATACAAATCTTTTAAAGTTGAATGAACACTGCTCTCCTTCACTCACATGGCATTTACAATATGATCAGCACATATGGATGTTCGTGTGCAAGTATGTATATGCTTATTGGTATTCGTACACGTATGTATGTATGTCAATTGATTTCAGCATGGGGGTGTTTGTATAAGTTAATGTTTTATAACATTTAATTTCTTTTTAAAAAAGAATGAGCGGACTACGTCCGCTTTTTTAGTTTTATTGATTCAAATCAAACTTAAAGACTAACAATTATTTCTTACTACTACTTTAAACATAGCTTCTTAATATTAATTTGCTGACAACCAATTTCGGATTAGCTGATTGCTGACTGTTGTTTGCGTCGATTATTGCTGACTATTGTTTATTGCAATATTCTTCAGACGCCTAATCAGCGATTATCATTATATTGAACGGAAGCATATTCTGGAATTATGAGGTTATTGAACATTTCGTAATTTGTGAAGTGATGCGTTAACTGCTCTCTCTTAAGTATGATCGTCTTCGATCATCAGTAAAATGGCAAGTCGTTGAAACTTACGTACGTTGGAACGTGATTCGTTTTGTTTGTTGGAGTAATTTCTTGATTGGTGCTAGGCTTTACTATTTTTTTTTTTCAACGTATTGGATCTTCACGGATCGTTTCCTTAGGAAAAGGGAAAGTATTTATTATGGTTATTAATAGTGTTGCCGTTATTAGGCTTCCGATAGAGAATGTCGCCTTTTTGAGGGCGTTTATTCGGTGTATGTTTCTGATATGTAGGTCTTTCAAAGCCTCTAAGGAAAGTAGTTCTATGTACTCCTTCTCTAATGGGATTGGCTGCAGTATTGCGGGGATGGTATCAATTGACTTAGCTTCCATGTTGCTGAATTTTTGATTGTTAATTTTAAATGTTGAATTGTGGTACATTACTACATGCATTCCCTTTATTTCTTGCGTTGTCGCATTGATTTCTAATTCTCCATTGAATTGGTTAAGCAATATTACTCCTGATCTTATTTCTTCTAACGTAGTGACTTGGTGACCATTGTTTGTCGAGCATGTTGAATTTAGACTATTAAAAATTCTAGCTGTAATTTTCGCATTTATTTTTTATCCCATAAAGTGTATTTATTCCTTTTGATATTTCCTTATATTCAGTTTTAATAACAATATTGTTCGGCCTTAT